CAAGAACTTTTGCAGGAGAGAGTACATTGCAGATGTCTCTAAGTGTGGCCTCAGTTTCTCTCTGTGCTCTCAAGCCATCTTCTGCTTTTGTCTTCACAGCTGGCCTGAGGAAAACCCGCGACACTGGGTGACTTGTGTGGATGTGCACAGGTGCATATACAGGTATATGTGCACATATGTGTATGTTAACATGGAGGCCAGAGGTTAATGAAAGATGTCTTCTTCAATTGCTCTTCACCTTATTTTTCAAGGCAGGGTCTCCCACTGGATCTGGAGCTCACTGATTGGCTAGGCTGGCTGCCCAGTGAGTTATAGGGATCCACTGGCCTCTGACTCCCCAGTGTTGAGAGGGGCCATTGTGTCCAGCAGGGAACCCAAACTCAAGTCCTCTTGCTTGAGCAGGAGGCATTTTACTGACTGAGCTATCTGCCCAGCCTCAACTTTAAAAAAAATGCACTTATGATTTCTTCCTTACATAGCTCATTGTTTTTTTTCAGAATAATTTGTAGATTTTCCAGAATTCCTCCAATTACTAGTTTCTAGTTCCAATACCATTGAGATTGGAAAAGAGAGTTGCTATGATTTTAACTTTTTAAAATTTGCTAAGTCTTGCTTTGTAGGTTAGTATATGACCTATCCTGGAAAATGTTTCTTGTGTACTTGACAAGAATTCCCACTCTGCTGTTATTGGACAGAGTGTCTGTTAGGTCCATTTGGTCCAGAGTATTGTTCAATATGTAATACATACTTTCTTATTAATTTTCTTTCTGCATGATTCAACCATTGTTAAGAGTAGGATAAAGTCCTTTACTAGAATTATATTGCTACTGATTTTTCAGTTTTGTTGGTATTTGCTTAATATATTTAGGTGTTCTGTTGCATTATATGTAAACATTAGTAATTTTATATCTTCTTGATATATTACCTTTTAATCAGTATATATAAGCTTCTTTTCTCTTGTGACAATAGTTGACTTAGAGTCTATTTTATCTGGCAGGTACATGGACATTCCTGCTGTCTTTTGCACAATTTGTATTTCTCACATTAACTTACTTCCGCCTATGTTTGTTTAACATTGAAATGACCCTCTTCTAAGCAATAAATTGTTGGCTCTTGTTTTATACATTCACCCAAGGTATGTCTTTTATTTGGAAAATTTAATCCATATACACCTAATTCAATTATTTATAGGTATGGTCATACTATTGCTATTGTATTAATCATTTCAAGACTTTATAGTGTTTTTTTTTGATCCATTCTTTCTCTTTTGCTTTTTGTAATTTGATGACTTTTGTGGTAGTATGATATGTGTTTCTCCTAATCTATTGTGTATCCCCTTCAGATTTCTCCTTTGTGTTTTCCGTGAGAGTTACATAAAACATCCCATAATGGGACTGGAGAGATGGCTCTGCAGCTAAGAGTGCTTGGTGCTCTTATAGAGGACCTGAGTTTGGTTCCCAGTACCCATATCAATGGCTCAAAACCACATGTAACTTTACCTTCAGGGGATCTAGCACCCCCTCTGGCCTCTGAGAGCAGTTGCATGCACATGGCATACACCCATACAGACATACACACAGAGAAATAGAAATAATAAGAATAATTTAAAAAATCCTATAGTAGCACATCTTATTTTATGTTGATAAAAATCTAGCTTCATTTGTACAGAAAGCATTTTAATTTGTGGCTGGAGAGATGTCTCAATGATTAAGAACACTGGCTTCTCTTGTAGAGGACCCAAGTTTGAATCCCAGCACCCACATGGCCACTGACAACCATCCATAACTCCAGTTCCAGGGGATTTGATGCCCACTTCTGAACTCTGGGGACATTGCATGACATGGGCAAATCTACCTACACACAGGCAATACACTCATATACATAAAATAAAAATAAAAAACATTTTTTAAAACAAGCATCATAATTTTACTTCTCTATTTTTCCTTCTTAGTTTGGTTTATTGATATTACAATTTATATTTTTCTCTAATAAAATTATTATAGTTATAGTTATTTTTATAGATTTGTTTTTAGCATTAATGCTAGAGTTTATGAATGCACCACAATTACAATATTAGACTATAATACAATTATGATATCTGACTATATTTTTGTCTTCACTTGGGAGTTTTATACAGTCATGTGTTTCTTTTTTTTTTTTTTTTTTTTTTTTTTTTTTTTTTTTTTTTTTTTTTTTTTTTTTTTATTTTGTTTTAAGACAGGGTCTCCCTGTTAGCCCCAGATGGCCTGGAACTTGCTATGTAGACCAGGCTGGCCTCAATCTCTCTCTCTTGAGTGCTGGTATTAAAGGTGTGTGCCATCACACTCAGCTAGTCATATGTTTTTATGTTGTTAATTAGCATCCTTTCATTTCACCTTGAAGAATTCCATTTTGTACTCCCTGTAAGGCAGTTCTAGTGGTAATGAACTCCCTCAGCTCTCCCTTGTTTGGGAAATCTTGATCTTGCCTTCATTTCTGATAGACATTTGCTGTTGGTTGACTCTTTTTTTCTTTTACTATTCTGAATGCATCATCATCCTTGTCTACTCCCCTGCTAGGTTGTTCCTCAGAACTGCACTAATAGTCCTATGTATGCCCCTTACATGCTACAAATAACTTTTCTCTTGCAACATTCAAATATTCTCTGTGTCTCTGACTTATGAAAATTGATTATGTGTCTTGGTGTAGACCTTCTTGTGTTCTCTATTGGGGGAACTTGGGGCCTCGTGCATCTTGATGCCCATTTGTCTCCTAAGTCAACAAAGTTTTCAATCATTATTCTTTTAAATAAACTTAAAAAACTTTAAAATTTATTTTTATTTTATATGTATGAGTGTATGGCTACATGTATGTAAGTGCACCCATGTCATGTAGTGCCCACACAGGCCAGAAGATGGCGTCAGATTCCCTGAAACTGGAGTTGAAGATGGTTGTTAGCTGCCATGTGGATGCTGGGATTCAAACCTGGGACCTCTGCAGGAGCGGCCAATGCTCTTAACCACTGAGCCATCTCTCCAGCCACTAAATAAACTTTTATTGCTTTCTCCTTCTCTCCCTTTCTGGAGAATATTGTGTATTGTTTTTCTTGACCACCTCTGTAACTCTCACAGACTTCCTTCACTTTTTTTCATCCTTTTTGTTTAATCCTCTGACTAAATAATTTGAAATGCACATTCTTTGACCTTTTCGATCATTCTTTGGCTAGACTGAGTTTGCTGTTCGAAGTTTCATGAGTATTTCAGTTGTGTTTTTTATCTGTATGATTTGTTTTGTTTTATGGTTTCTATTTCTTTACTGGATTGCTAATTTTGTTCATGTAGCATTTTCCTAGGTTTTTTGGGGGGAGGGGGATTGGTTCTTGCTACATAGCTCTGGCTGGTCTCAAACATGCTATGCATCCCACATATTCCTGGAATTTGTGAGCCTCCTGCCCAAGCCCCACACTGCTGGGATTATAGGTGGGTACCATCATGCCTTGCTTGTGTTTTCCTAATTTGTTTAGTGGTTTACCAATGCATTCTTGTAGTTCATGAAATACCATTAAGATGTTTATTTGGAACTCTGTCAATTAGTAGATCTCCATTTCCTTAGGACCAACTATTGAAGTTTTGTTGGTTTCCTTTAGTGCTATCACTTTCTCCTGTTGTTTCTCAATACTTGCAATCTTGTCTTGCTATCTGGGCATTTGTGGTAGTGCCCACCTCTTCTCATCTTTGTAGCTTGGCTTTGGTAATAACATCTTTCACTATTTAGACGAGGCTGGGGTTCTGGTCAGGCCCATGGGTAGTGTTCACAAGCAGGCAGGGTTCACCATTCCATTCCCTAACTGTAGGCCCACTGCCTAAGTGACGAGATTGGGTGGAACTGCTGCCTGTGCTGTATGGTTAGGTAGGACCCCTGGCTGGGTTCTAAGGCAGGTGGAAGTATTGTCTGGGATCCTTAGTGATGTGGAATCTGCACTGGGCTTTGTGGTCAGGTAGGGCCACAGACTGTTGTCTGCAGTAGGCTCTGGTAAGATGGTAAGGTGTGGCACTCCTTGGCTGAGTGGGGTGACCATTTGGACTCTAATTCTGAGGCCACAGGATGGGCTCTAACTTTCTCCAAGTTTAGTGGAGTCCCATGAAGTTCCCCCTAGCCAAGAGTATCAATAACTTTTGCAGTAATGTGGGGGATTGATTTCTTTTGCTCATGGTGTCAGAGAGTTCAGCCCAGGGTTCCTTGGTTACTCAGGCAGAACATCACGACAGTGGGAATATGAAGTGGTCTCATGACAGATGGAATCAGGAGAGAGGCATACAGGAAGAGTCTAGGGCAAGGTAGAGTCACAAGGATATACCCCTGTGGTCCATTTCCTCCACTAGGCCTTACCTCCCAAATTTCAACATCATCCAATAATACCATCAAGGATTAATCCATTCATTAGGTCAGAGACCTCATGAAATAATCATCTCTGGAGATGCCCTCTCAGGTACATCCAAAGGAGTATTTGACTAATCTCCCATGTGTTTTAATCCAATCAACCTGACAATGAGTATTAGCCATCATAACAGGGATGCTATTGGCTGGCTGAACTCCATGTTCAAATAGGGATGTATGTCAGGTTTGATAATCACGAGGAGGTCTTAGGCTATGCTTTGCAGTTAAGTGGGGATGGAAGCTGGCCTGTGTAATTGTTCAGGGCCTCAGACTCAACTGTGTGGCTGGGCTGGGTACCTGGCTTGGATCCAGACCTGGGCAGGGCCACTCACCATGCTCTATAGACTGTATTCTGTACTTTGGTAGAGATTCAGGCTGGACTCCAAGGCCAAGTAATATTATTTAAGAGGTTCCATCATCAGGTGGGGTCAGAGACTACTTCAGAGTTGGGTGATGGGTCCAGACATTTACTACTGAGAACTCACCTGTCAAAGACCAGAGGCCTTGCATCCCTTCCAGGGCCTGAGGAGAAGGGTAACCAAGAGTCTCCTGAAAAGCCACCATTTCATCATTTATATCCTTAGGCGCTTGAAGGATCCAGAGCCAACATTTTTGAAGAATTGTCGAATAAATGGGGACAACCTGTACGTGGTGACAGAGGCCTTTGAACTGATCAAGGACACCACACTGGAAGACAGCAGCAGTGTGGGTTTTCGGGGAAAACTGACCATCCCCTATTCTAACAAGGTATGGGATGCAGATGTGAGGAAAACAGCCAGTCTGGCCATCTCACACTCACTTTCTAGGGGCTTCTGGGGGACTTCTCACACCTATATATCCTAATTCCCAACCTGAGACTGTGTTCTCACATCCTTGCTTATGATACTTTCATATGTGGGATTATTCACTATTGATAAACTCATATATAGATATAATATTTGGTATTACATTTGTTTTGGGTAAATGATAGATGCTGCAGAGATATAAATGTGAGGATTCTATATTGTACACACGTCCAGTTTTATCACTGGGAAAAACATGGGACCAAACCTCAACTGGTAATACAAATTCTATGGTCATCTGATGATAGTTTTTTTTGACACAGGGTCTCATGTGGTCCAGGCTGTCCCTAAACTGGCTATGGAGCTGAGGTTGGCCTTGAATGCCTCATCTTCCTGCCTCTTTTTCAATGTTAGGATTATAGGCATCTATTACCATGCCTGACTTTGATAAGAAATGTTTGAAGGCGTGAGGTTTAAATACCTTCAAGCATGTGATTTACATAATCCAGTTACCACAAACAAGTGTTGTTTAAAAATTAGTATAAAAATTCATTTATCAACTCTTTATTCAGATCATATGTGGACTATTTTGCCTTTCTTTTCTAATTTAGTTTTTAAAGCATGAAACCTATTGACAATTTCACACAAGTACACAGTGCATTCTGTCACTCTCACCCCTCAACTTCTCCTATTTCCCTCTCACACCCATCAACCCACGCTTCTCCTTTCAGGTCACTTTGCCACATTCATGTCTTTTTTTTGTGACCCGCTGAGTTTAAGCTGACCATCTGTGTAAGCATGTGTGTGGAACTATCTATTAGAGCATGGTGGGCTCAAAACAACTTCCCCTTCCACCACCCTTCAGTAGCCAATAGTTCCCCAGGGAGGGGTAGGGTCCCATGAGCCCCTTCTCCATCCATGACTGACTTTTGACAGGCCCTGTGCAGGCAACCACACTGTGCTGTGTATTCATGATTGCACTATCCATTCCATGCCTAGAAGATAGCACTCCACAGCCCTCCTCCCATCACTGGGTCTTAACGTTAGTTCCATTTCCTCTTCTGTGACAGTCCCTGAGCCTTAGAGGGGATGTTATAGATCTTCTGTTTAGGGCTGAGCACCCAGTGGTCATGTATTTTCATCACGCAAAACAGCCATTAGTCTCTTCGTTCACTGTCGTTCACTGCAAAAAGAAGTTTCTCTGATCAAGGATAAAGCAGTACTTGTTTATGGGTATAAACACCAATATTTAGAAGGCAGTTTGATCTCATGCCTATTTAGCAAAATAACAGTAATAACTGCCCCCCTCCCCAGGGTCTCTGACCTCCTCAGTCATTTTTTTTAAAACCAGGTTTATAGTACCAGGCATGAATTCCTTCCTGTGGAGTGGGCCTCAAATCTAGTCATAGAGTGGTTGGTTACTCCTATAATGGTCATGCCAGTGTTCTACCAATGGATACATCTTGCCTGACAAATTGTTATTTTAGCAGACAACGTTCAGAGTGGGGTAAAAATGTTGGAGTTTTCTCCTCTGACAGCCTGCAGAGCACCTTATGGCATTAAGTATGCTAGTCAGCAAAGAAAGAGCTTCCAGTTTAGTTCCAGTTTGATTTCTTTATGTCTTGAAACCAGGTGTGACTGGCAATAGGGTCATATCATTTAGTTCTTCTAGGCAATCAAGAGCAACAGCAATAGTCTATGTTGTCCTGGGGGAGAGGGCTCTGAGGCTTTCCTGACCAAAATCTCATAGGAAGGCATTTCACACCTGGCACAGGGATTTTTGTTGGATCACCAATGACTTCTGGGATTGACATTATCCACCCATCTAAGGTACCTCTGTTCAAGCTATTTAAAGGCTATATACCTTTAAATTAGTTTATAGAGTAGTAGGCTTCCATATGCCCTCTTATTGCATCCTGAGTTTTGGTTAACTCTCCCCCCCATCTCCTCCTCTTCCTTATCCTGTCACCCTGTCTGCATTTAAACCTTACCACCCCTGTATTTCCTCCACACTTTCATATATGTTCTGCTAAATGCCACTCCCCCTCTTTTCAGGACTCTTACCCCCATTCCTCATGGCATCTTCTGAGCGTTCTTGTCTCTACAGACATTCCACATTGTACACAAAAATCTCCAAATTCAAAGCTAAAATCCGCAAGCAAGAGAGAACATGCAGAATTTGTCTTTTGGGCCTGTGTTACCTCACTCAGTACTTTCCAGTTCAATTTCATTTTCCTGTAAACCTCACAATTTGATTATTCCTCACAGGTGAATAAAATTCCACATGGGCTACATTTTCATTATCGATTTATCAGTTGATGGACATACAGGCTGATTCCATTTTCTAGTCATTATGAATATAGCGTGGATGTTCATGTATATCTGTAGCAGGATATAGAGTTCTTTAGATATATGCCCAGAAGTGGTATACCTGGGTCGTGTGGTAGTTTTATTTCTAGCTTTTTGAGAAAACTTCAGACTGATTTCCAAAGTGGGTACACCAGTTCACACTCCCACCTACACTGTGTAAAGATTCATATTTTTTTTTAGCTTCACAAAGTCCCATTTGTTGATTGTTTGCCTAATTTCCTAGTGGTTTCAGAGTTTCGGTTCTCACATTGAGATCTTTGATCCATTTTGGAGTTGATTTTTGTTGAGTCAGAGATAAGGATCTAGTTCCATTCTTCTACATGCAGATACCTAGTTTTCCCAGCATGATTTGGTGAAGATGCTATCTTTTCTTCAATGTGTATTTTTTTAGGTGTCTTTGTAAAGCAAAATGAGGTGGCTGTAAGTACATGGACTTAGATCTCGGCCCTCAATTGGATTTCATGGATCTATGCTTATGCTGTTTTTATTACTATGTAGTATAACTTGAATTAGGTTTGTTGATAGCTCCAGCAGTAGTCATTCATTCAAAATTGCTTTTTTTTTGGTCTTTTTGAGTCAGGGTCTCTCTGTAGCCACAGCTGGCCTGGATTCGCTATGGAGACCAGGCTGGCCCCTGCCTCCTGAGTGCTGGGATTAAAAGTGTGTACCATCATACCTGGCAGAATTTTTTTTTTTTGTCTATAGTATTTTGAGCATCAATATGAGTTTAAAGATTTTTTTCTTTTTGTTCTGTTTGTGAAGAATTGCCTTGGAATTTTGACTGGAATTGCATTGAATTTGTACGTTGCTTTTGATAGGATAGTTGTTTTCACAATTTTAATTCATGAGCATGATAGGTTTTTCCATCTTCTAGTATCTTCTTCAATTTCTTTCTCCAGTGTCTTAAAGTTTTCACTGTATAGATCTTTTGTTTCCTTGTAAGATTTATTCCAAGGCATTTTATTCTTTTTTTTAGATTAAAATATTTTATTTATTATTTTTAATTTATGTTTATGCATGTATTGCTTGCATGTAGGTAAGTGCACCTGTGTCGTGCAATGCCTGTGGAAGACAGAAGAGGCTGTCGGATCCCCTGGAACTGGAGTTACAGACAGTTGTTAGCTGCCATGTGGGTGCTGGGATTTGAACCTGGGTCTTCTGCAAGAACAGCCAGTGTTCTTAACCGCTGAGCCATCTCTCCAGCCCCAGCATTTTATGCATATTGTTTAGTTTTAGCTTACAGTGAGTGAGCTGGTTTCCCTGATTTTGTTCTCAGTGTGTTTGCCATTGGCATATAGGAAGGCTACTGATTTTTTGTATCTTGCTCCTTTGCTGAAGGTGTTTATCAGCTCTAGGAGTTTTCTGGGGGAGTCTTTAGGGTCTCTTATGTATAGAATCATATTGTCTGAAAATAGGGATACTTTGACCTTTTTTTCCTCTTTGCATTCCTTTTATTTCCTTTTCTTATCTTACTGCTGTAGCAAGGATTTCAGCACTATGTTGAAAAGGATTGAGAAAGAGGACACTCTTGTTTTGTTCCTGATCATGGTGGAAATGCTTTAAAATCTTCTCATTTAGCACGAGGTTGGCTATAGGTTTGTCATATATACCCTTTTCCATTTTGAGTTGTGCTCCATCTATCCACAGCTTCTTCAGGGATTTTTATCAGGAAGGGATGTTAGATTTTGTCAAAGGTCTTTTCTGCTCACTATTGATGAGCACATGGTTTCTGGCTTTGAGTCTATTTATGGGGTGAATTACATCTATACATTCGTGTATGTTGAACCACCACCACATCTCTGGAAAATCAACTTGATTATGATGCATGATCTTTTTGATGTGATCATGAATCTAGTGTGCAAGGGTTTTACTGGGAATTTTTAAATCTATATTACTCAGGGAGGTTGGCCTCTAATTTTCTCTTTTTTGTTGTATTTTTGTCTGGTTTTATTATTAGGGTAATGATGACTTTATAAAAGTTTGGAAACATTGCTTCCTTTTCTGTTTTCTGAAATAATCAGAGAAATATTGGTATTAGTTCTTTGAAGGTCTGGTAGAATTCTGTGGTCAATATACCTGGACCTGAGCTTTAAAAAAATTACATATAAACATATAAAAAGAGCTTAAATGCACTTACACTATAATGGGGGATAGTGTGTCTCCCAGCTACCATAGTCTATCAAATAAAAAGCCGGATTCCAGGTATGAGTTACCTTCTTTTTGAGTTTTTGGTAATTGGAGTGCCAAAAACCCCCAAATGTTGCAGATTGTTGCCATTTCTCTTGGTGATTCTTAATAATAACAATAAGAATCACCTGAAGTTGGAGGAAACAGTGGTGGGAGGTAGGGGAGGACTTGGAGGGAAGTTAATGAGGTAGGTCTGATAATAGTACATCATAAATATGTATGAAATGCCCAAACAATAAAATCTTTAAAAAAGAGAAAGTTGTATATGTTTGTGAAAAAGCAAAACAAGTCATATTCCAAGGAATTCCAGCCTAGAATTCTATGTCCAATGAAATTACCACTCTAATGCAAGTTAAAATAAATATATCTTTAGGAATAGAGGTTTTAAGGCAGTCACGCCTCAGCTCCCCAGGAGAGAGGAGTAACAAACAGAAAAGACAGAAACTGTTACACTGACAGGTCTGGAATGAGGAGAAACAGTCTCCCCAACAGCAAACAGAAAATATGGAGTGTACACAGATATCCAGATGTGACCATCTGGCTGGGTGGAGAAGTGAGGGATGAGGGAAGAAAAGGAAAATGAAACCTTAAATCCCCAACACTAAAATCAAAGCATTCCAGGAGGGCAGGTAGTGTGGATCAGTGGACGAGTACTGGCCTGGCTTTTGTGGGCTCAATCTCTGGCTTTCCCAAGCATCCCTCCTCTCATGCAAATTGCAATATGACAATTGAAAATGTGTAGGTAAATAGTGTTCAGTATGAGGGGAAAAGCAGTAACTGGATAAGAGGACCAGGAAGGAGAGTGAGGGACTGAGTGTTTTCTCATGAGCTTTCTAGATCTGTTTGACTTTAAAATTAGAGGCATATATTGCTTTGATTAAAAGTAAACATAATTTTAGAGCTGGGTGTGCTAGACCACACCTTTAATCCCATCAGGGGTGGAGGCAGGTGGGTCTCTCTGAGTTCCAGGTCAGCCAGGGCAACATGGTAAGACCCTGTACCCTGTCTAAAAAATGAAGAAGAAAAAAACCAACATGATTTTTATGGTGTTCTGAGATAAAGAGCTGTAAAGCTCTTGGGATGTTTTGTCTTCCCAGGGTCAGGTCCAAGGAGAGTGGCAAAAAGAGAGGAAGAGAACAATGACTGTCCCAAAGGGCACCGTGGTGGCCTACAGGAGGAAACAGCTGGTCATCAAGAATAAAAGTTGTGGTGAGTAGAGGCCGGGTAGACAGGCGGGAGGCATCTGGTCCTGAGAAGAGAGACAGGAGGCCAGAACCCATCAACTGGCCACCTCTGCTGCTTTCCTTGTCTAGAGACAAGGTTGAGCAGAAGTTCTCACTGTTCTATCATCCTCAGCTACCTCTAGGCATAGCCAAGCTCAAATACTGCTAGCTGTAGGTACAGATATAATCTCCTGCGTGGTCGGAAGGGACCCACCATAGGGTGCTCATCTGGAGCTGTCATTAGTACTGGGTGAAGTCCAGGTCTAGTCTCAGTCACCTCTAGCCATTAAAGGTCCTGTCACTGTCAGCAGCTCAGCAGTGAGCCACCAAGCCCCCCCCAGGTGACCCTTAAACCCACACTCTATCCCCATAAGATAACAAAAACTGTAGATGGAATGCCCTAACAACACTGCAGGATTCTGTCCACAGCTCTTACCTCAGAATGTACCCCAGCATATATCTTGGTTTAGAGTCTTCCACGTGGCAGAACTGTATGCGTTAGTCATGGACCTGTGTGTGATGTGAGTGTTAGAACATGGTTAGGTCTCAGAGCCCTGCTTCTCTTCATTGTGGAATCCCAGCCAGAGCTCAGCTTGAGTCAGCTGGACGATGCAATAGACAGGGAAGCTGGACTCTCCAGTCTAGTACAGTTATGGACAATGGCTTCTAGAGAAAGACTGTCCACACTCACACAGCTCTCTTAACTGAGGCTTAATAGGGTCCGGGCAGGGGGAGGTCAGAGATGCCTTTGAAGTCCTGGGAGATGGCCGTGCTGTTAACAAATCTTGGTGAATAACAAAGGGCTTTTATACAGGGAGGGAAAGAAAAGGAGCCCGTTATTCAAAAATATCAACGGCAAAACAAAAAATAAACGATCTGATTAAAGAGCCCATAGAGCGCGATGCTGTTGCCTCCAGAGACAAAGTTCATGCTTACTGGTGGCTGAATGCAGGAGACTTCACTGGAGAAGGGACTGATGGTGGAGGTGTGAATGAACGGAGAGGAAGTGGGGACACTGTGTTGAGGGCTTGGGGAAGCTGAGCAGGAGGAGAAAGCGAGTGAGAGGAAGAGGTAACAGGAAGGGGGGTTCTGGGGTGAAGGGTTCTTAAGGTGCAGAGACTTGAGCGGGTGTCAGGCCAGGCAAGGAGCCTGATGAACTGAAGCAGCGAAGGCAGCTGGGGTCGGACTCCTGGCAGATCACTTGCCTCTGTTCTTCACGTCAACTCAGATTTCATCCTAAGCACGAGAAGGCCCATTTTCTCTGAGCTACTGGCCAGAACTATGGCAAATTATTAAACTCTTTTCGTTCTGTTATGATGACTAAATTTGAACTTGTAAAGGGAACACATTACCTCAGTTGGTTCCGGTCCTTGTTGGGTCCAATCCTGTCAACAGAGGCCCCACTCGCCCCCTAGTGCTCAAGATGTGACTTGCAGGCACTCTTTTGAAGTTTGCGTTTTGTCTAATTTCTTTTTAGTTAATATTTCATAAACCTGTTGTTTCCTTCATGGGCTCATTTCATGTGTCAAATGCTTGAATTTTGTTTTTAGGCAAGTTTTAAGCTCCAGTGCATCTCTATGTATGTAACTGGAAACAATTCAAGATTTCAAGATTGAGAGCTGATAAAAAAGGGCTGTGTGGTAACAAAAGGTTAACGGGAAGTCTACATGAGAGAGCAGGAGGAAGCCAGTCTCCTTTAACCTCATGGAACAGCCCTCCCTCCCTCGCTCCCTCCCTCCTTTCTTCTTTCTATTTTATATGTATAGATGTTTTGATTGCATATATGTGCACCACATATATGCCTGGTGTCTCCAGAGCCAGAAGAGTGTGTGGGATCCCCTGGAACTGAAGTTACAGATGATTGTGAGCCGCCATGTAGATGATGGGAGCTAAATTTGGGTCTTCTGCAAGAGCAGGAAGTGCTCTTAACTGCAGAACCGTCTCTCCGGCCCCTAGTGGAGAATTTCTTGACTATTGGAAGGCATGATGGTCACTCAAAGCGCTTATTTAAAATACAGGTTTCAGGCTGGTGAGATGGTTTAGTTGGTAAAGGTGCTTGCTGCCAAGTCTAATGACCTGAGTTCGATATCCAGAGCCCACATGTTGGAAGGAGAGAACTGACTCTTGACACACACACACACACACACACACACACACACGCACACACCCACACATGCGTGTGTACACACAACCAACCAACCAACCAATCAATGTATGTAATAAAATGAAAGGTTTAGGGATCCTGTCCAAGGATCTGGTTCACAGGTCAAGAGGCGAGATGTCAGGTTGACAGGCATTCCTGGTGTTGGGCACAGGGTCTCCAAGCAGGGTGTGGGAGCAACTCTAGCAGGCATAACCACACATCTTCTGATTCCTTTCCCTCCAGCCATTCTCCTCTCCACTAATGCCAAGAGGAAAACTTTTGAAGATGTTCGTAAACAATCACTGTGCAGGACTCTTGTTTTAACCTCAGATCTCATGCGATGTGAGGCTGCTGAACTTTCTATAGGTAGGACTTTCTTGAACAAAGATCTGCCTAGGAATCAGTTGCTCAGGAGATTTCTCAATAAAGGTAGGGTTGGTGAGAGGCAAGGGGGCGGTGGAGGAAGGAGTTGGAAAGGTCAGAGGTGGAAGGAAAGAGAAGGGGAGGGGAGACTGACTCGGTGAGCTGACCCTTCTCTTCCTCTTTTCAGGGTCATTTTCACCAAGCCCATTTGGTGAGTGAATGGTTTTGGAGTCATGAAAGTAGAACCTGCCTCCCTCATCCAGGTCACTCTGAATAACAGAATGCCATCTGACTGCCTTTGCCAGAGGCCTTGAGATCTGGCCTCCAGCACAAAGGGTGGGACAGATGGAGAAGGGGGTTCAGAGAAGTGAGAGCAAGACTAATTCTTGGGTCGGGCAACATATTGTCTCTTTCTAGGCTTGGGGATAGCTTTCATCTCTCCAATAGGTGAGTGTGTGTCGGCAGGAGGTGGGAGCGGAAAGCCATCTGGGTACCACTATCCTCCACTGCCTTGGCTTTGGTTGCCATAGATATGAAATGTCCTGAAAGGCCAGCATGGTGTTAAGGGCAGCTGGGAGTAGGGCAGGGAGAGGTCATTCAGGAGGGAGGAGATGGTGGAAAGGAAAGTCTCCAGTGTCTCAAACACAAACTCGAGGATGAAGAAAGATGATTACTTGTGATTCTCTTTCTAGGAAAGGTAGAGGAACCCTTCCACCAAGGTGAGTGTTTTTTAAATGGAAATCTGGAGTTCCAGTGGAAAACCATAGGCTGAGAACTCAAGTTGAAACTTTCTTTGCAACTCAGAAAATTGAGGTCTACGTTCAAGGTTCCTCTTTAGATAGCTCAGCCCACACATGCATATCTGCATGCGCTAAAGGTTCGCCAGAGGCTTTCTGGGCAGCTTGTATTTCTCTAGCACTGGAGGTATGACAGCATCAGACAGAAATACTCATGTCTTTGGAGCTCCCACTGTGGTGGCGTCTCAGGCTCACAAATCACCTGGAGGACACTTGGGAGAACCAGAATGCCCTCACCATGCAAGTCTTGGTTAATCTTTATAGACATTGGAGGTATTGGCACAACTATATGGTAAGTGTAGCTCCTGTATGCCAAGTGCCTCACAAACAAACTCACTTAATCCTCACGGTTTCCTCATTTATCACACATGGAAACTGATCCCTGAACATCTAGGAACAACTCTAGAGTCGAATAGCACATTTCACAGTATTTCTGACAAATCCAAGAAATGACCACTTGAACATTTTTCTCCCACATGCAATGAGCAGTTTTCAGAATCCGCTCCTAGCATTCTGTCCTCTCCTTGCAGAGCACCGGGACCTTTCAGCTTTCTGTCCTCATGACAGTTTTGAGCCTGGTGCTCGAGCAGGCTGTCAGTGGAGACTCTTAGTCAGCAGCTGAGAGGGTTGGAAGGCTTTGGCTCTTGTGGAAGGGTTTAACATCTCAGGAATGTTTAACTGAAGACTTGCCTTCACTTTCTGGTTGGTGTTGATTCTTGGGGGCAGATTTCAAGTGCCTAGAAAAGGAGGTTTCTGAGCAAACACGCTTACTTGCCGAGCTCTCAAAGGATGTTCAAGATGTTGTGTTCTACAGTATCCTGCCCATGCTTGGGGACAGAGAGGCTCTATATGACCTGATGGACATGGTAAGGGTTCCACAGTTGTCTAGAGATGATCAAACCTTTAAGGGGGGAAGTTTAGGAGCCAAGATACATGAGGGAGGAGGGAGGAACATGATGTCAAGGAGACTGGGAACAGCCTACTCAGAAACCCTGGGGGGAGGTAGAGCCCTCAGCCTACCCTTTACTTATCACCGATTGACACAGAAAACACAGGCAAATTACATGGTAATGGTATTGAGCTCAGATTTGGGGGACTGAGGCTACTTGCTGAAGGCCTTCCTTTCGAGAGGCCTTTATTCACTAAGAATGAGTTCAAAGCTAGTGTGGGCAACAAAGTGGGACTCTGTCATGCAAAAAAGAAAAAAAATGGTGGTAAAAAGGAGCTGGGATGTAGCTCAGTGGTAGAGTGCTTGTTTAGTATGTGTAAAGCCCCAGGTTCAATCCCTAGCTCTAGAAAAAATTGCTATTATTAACAAGAATACCTATTTCTTGTAGCTGGAATTGGATCAATTGGGACATATGGATGGCCCTGGTGGCGCAATCCTAGACAAGCTGAGACAGGACTCAAGGCCTCTATTGGTTAACCCAAAGAAACTGTTTCTTTATCTCCTTCAAGCTCTAGCAGGTAAGACTGATTTGAGGGAGGAGTGGGAGAGTCTTCATGCTGGTTCCTAGAGGGCTGTGCTAGATGCCACCTCCCCAAAGCCCTCCAATTATCACGCTCATACTCACATCACCCTTCTCTGTAAGGTCAGCAAGGCTTAGAGTGATAAATTTTCATGTGCCACAGACTGCATCTGAGGCCTAGAAAATGAGGTGGAAGGTGATGGGTGGAGAAGATTCCTGCTTCAGCACTTAGGATCCCAGGCTCTGGGTCATGTGACTTAGGATCCTAGAGACCATCTGAGGCCTTTCCAGGGCAGGGGGTAGGGAGCTTGACCTTCAAGCCTAATGGGGGGCACTCTTCTGTCTCAGAGCTCCTCTCTCATTGGGTCTCCTAGTTTGTACTGAGAGAAGAAAATAGTCTGTCACTCTTTCTCACATGTCCCTTCCCCTAGTGCTGAGTGACATTCAACTTTATCTGCTGGCTCAGTCCATGGAGAAGAGGATCCTGCTCCAGCAGCGAGAGCTGGTGAGAAATCCTCAGGGATCAGCTGCCCAGGGATGAGGAGGAGGAAGAAGGATCTGAGAAGAGAGAGATGATGGTTTCCACCGGGAGGGGAGCTGGGGTCCCGGGGTGGATACGTGGAAACCCCTGCTGTCTTCTTCCTCTAGAGAGCAGGCAGGCTGGGTGCAGCCTGTCAGGAGCATGTCTGTGTTCAGTGTAACCGCTGAAGCAGGGCCCACCAGGTCTAAAATACCAAGATAGGAAGGCAGTCCTGTGGGAACCAAGGGGGTGCGAGTAGTCCACACCCTTTGTTGCAGTTACCATGTGCAAATTGCCCTTTCTCTTCCCGTTTATTTATCTGTAAATACAAAATGTGTCTAGTCATATACATGTACATACACATGTATATACATATATAGGCACCCACATGACTTGTACAAAGTGTGCTTTATTTTTGTACCTGAGGAACCAGTGACCAGTGGTTTCAATATTCTGCCCTGTCCATTGCCCCGCATGGCTTCTGACTGTTGGGACAGAGGTCTCTCACCCTGGTGTCAAAGCCTGGTCTGTCTAATCTGATACTGCATTTTTTCTAGGTAAAGAGCATCCTACAACCAAACTTCAAGTATCCCTGGAGCATTCCCTTCACTCTCCAGCCTGAGCTTCTCGCCCCACTCCAAGGTGAGGGCTTGGCTATCACTTACAGCTTACTAGAGGAGTGTGGCCTAAAGATGGAGCTAAATAACCCCAGGTCAACCTGGGATCTGGAAGCCAAGATGCCCATGTCTGCCCTCTATGGGACCTTGTCATTGTTGCAGCAGCTTGCTGAAGCCTAACTCCTCCCCTAAGCCTGGACCCAGACCAGTTGATGCTGAGTCCTTGGTGGATCTGAGACATAGCAACACATAATAGCATCTACCAGGAAGGGTACATACAGGGATTGGAAAACTCAAGTGATGTTTAGGGTGGAAATAAGGATCCTTCTTGTTTTTTTTCTTTTACTGTTCTTTCACAATTTCATATTCGTGTATAATGTCCTTTGAGCATATGCCCCCCGACTGCCGCTGTCTTCTCTTATCCCCCCAACAAGCCCCTTCCCAACAACTCCTTCTAACTTCCATGTCTTTTTTTTTTTTTTTATTGTGTGCCAATGTATTTAATTAGGGTTGCTTATATGAGCATGGGGGGGTGGTAGTGGTGAATTATTTACTTGAGCAAAGGCAACTTACCAGTAGTTACACACTTAGGAATATGACTCCCCCTTCCCAGCAACAATTAACTGTCTATTGTGTCTTAGTGGGGTGGAGATTTGGGGACCCCTCCTCTATCCATGATGGAATGTTGATGGGCCTCATCTTGTACAGGTAACCATTGCTGCTGTGAGTTTATGGGTACATAAACCATGTCATGGCCAAGAATAAGTGTTCTGGTATCTTTCATAACTTCTCAAATAGTATATTAAAGATTTAAACATTTTTCTCTATATAACTTCTACTTCAAAATAATACAAACAGATGTTGGCTTTTAATCATGCACATTTTGAATTGTTTTGGATGATGTTGGTAACTTACCTTGAAATGCATCAAAAATAATATATGGTGGCTGGGGAGATGGTTCAGTGGTTAAAGAGCTTGTCTTGCAAGTATCAGGACCGGGTTTGGATCTCCAGAACCTGTGTAAATGCTGAGTGGGCATCGTGGCCTGCCTGTAATTCCAGCCTCAGAAAGTGGAGATGGGAGCCCCAGAGCTAGCTGGCTAGGGATATCTACCAGCTCTGGGTTTTGTTGAGGGACACTGAATGGAAAAGTGATGGAGGACGATTCCTGACAGCCCCAGGCCTCCATACCCTCAGAAAGTGGAGATGGGAGCCCCAGAGCTAGCTGGCTAGGGATATCTACAAGCTCTGGGTTTTATTGAGGGACACTGAGTGGAAAAGTGATGGAGGACGATTCCTGACAGCCCCAGGCCTCCATATGCAATAGAGGCACCAATATTATAGGAGTAACAACTACTTTCCAATTGAATTTAAGGTCTGTTCATCAGATGGAGTCCATACTTGACACTGATATCAGACCTAGAACCCTAAGGCTAGACAGCACACAGGCCACGGGAGAAAGCCTAACACATCTATTTTGCTAAACAGGTATGGTATTAAACTAATTTCTAATGACTTGCCGTTATACCCATATATTAATATGTCTCTCAGCTCTCACCAGCTGAGATGTGATGGCTAATCCTGGGTGTCAACTTGACTGGATTAACTGATAACTGAAATGAAAGAGATCTTCCTGATTGGATCATCTGAAGCTGGAAGACACACCCTAACTGTGGGTGTTACCTTCTGATGGCAGCCGGTATAAAAGGCCATAACAGAGGAGAACGCCTGGCTTCTTGCTGCTTGCCTTCCCTCTCGCTGTGAGTTCGTCTTGCTGCTGTAGACTGAAGACCAGCTGATCTTTTGGAATTCGTCAGACCTTCAGCACCAGATTGGGACTACTGAGACATCCAGCCTTGTGGACTGAGCGACTATGGATTCTCAGCCTTTTCAGTGTGGTCAGCCATTGTTGGACTACTTGGACTGTATCCTGTGAGCTAAGCTGATAAATCCCTATACATATATATTCATCCTACCAGTTCTCTTTCTTTGGAGAACCCTGACTAATACAGAGTGTATTGCCTGCATGTGTGTAAGTGCACCCATGTTATACAATGCCCGTGGGGGTCAGAAGAGGGGGTCGGATCCCCTGGAACTGGAGTCATGGTGGTTGTTAGCCACCATGTGGGTACTAGGAATCAAAACTGGGTCCTCTGCAAGAGCAGTCAGTACTCTTAATCACTGAACCATTTCTCCAGCCCCCAGATTTCATCTTTAAATATGTTCTTTCTTCTCTCTTTTTACTATAAGCAACCACAAGTAGCCTCCCCCCCAAAAAAAAACCCAGACCTAAAACAAAACACAGAAACAGAAACAAAACAAACAAAAACAAAACCTTAAACCCCAACCCCAACCCGAATCAAACCCCCTTGAATACTTTGCTGCTCAGATGACTTCTGCCAGATCAGCCGGCTCATTACTCTTACCTCCGGCATTCCGCAGAGCCCTAGGCTATAGACACAAACCCACTACATTCTTTGTAGCTTCAAGGATGTCACTGTACCAGTTTCCAATGCCTGTTCCCCGGTCCCCTCAGGTGTCTCACCAGAGTGTTCTTGCTGCTGCATCTCTACCAGCACTCTGGGCTTGACAGTAACAGGAGCTTAGAACTTGCTTTTGCTAAAGAGTCCTCACTTCTCAAGTACAAGCAAGATCAAAGCTTGGAATCTTCGCCTTCATTTTGTATTGATCTCTCTTACTTTGGGTTTGATTGCTGCTGACCTCTGATCATGACCCAAAGCTAGGGATGCAAGGTTGACTAGACCCCAATTTTCTTAGCCTGTGCCCCCCTCCTTTAGTACTAAAGCATAAAGATGAAAATAACTAAGATATTTTACTGTCAGATTTTACTCCATCCTGTTCTAGATGCCCCCCTAAAGGTTCCTGAAATATCCAGTCATTGTCACCCTGGGTTCCAGGAGCAGTGACACCTCACAGACAGATCACCATAGGATGAAGATGAGATCACCCCCTAAACAAAAGCAGTTGTCCCATAAAGGAAACTAAAGCTGCACCCCCCAATGCAGAAGCCATAATCTCCTGGGGATGAGATTGTCTCCTCAGTTGATAAGAACTTCTCTAAGGTTACTTGCAGAACCAGGACTGGAGTAGTGACCAAACAGACCACAGTTGACCTACGCTGCTTAATCATTCAGGCCTCTTACCTCTGTCCCAGTTCTCCCTGTGTTTAAACTAGAGCTGTGTCAGCGCCCTGAGGAGGTGCTGAGATACTGGGTCTCCATCCCAAATTTCTGAGGCAAATGGCTGGTCCTAATTTGTTGGTCTCCCACCTCCCCAAGCTGCGATTCTGGCCTAGACCTCTGGTAATACAGCCACTCACGTATCTTCCAGGTGCCTCCAGCCTTTCGTTACAGTTCTCTTCTGAGCCCTCAAGAGCACAGTTGCCCTTATTGCTCCTTTATTGGCACTTCTGTCGTTTCCTAGCTGCTCTTCCAAATCCTTTCAGCTTCGGCTCATTACCCAGTTCCAAAACTGTGTTCACAATTTCATGTATTGTAATAGCAACAGTTCTTGGCTATCAACTTTCTGTTTTATTCTATTTTGTGCATAACAGCATATCCAAGGCTGGAAAATTTATGAAGAAGAGAGCTTATTTCTTACAGTTCTGGTACTGGAAAGTCTAAGGTGACAGCTCCTTTACTGTGCCAGCCCATGAAGAGACAAAGCATGCATGGGGAGAGAGGAAGAGATCAACTCATAGCCTTAAGCCTCCTGTTAATCTGCTCATGAGGGTGGGATGCTCATGACTTAACAGTCATTAGCCCCTTATTAGATCACAACGCATTCAAACCATAGCAATTATATATATATGTTAAACTTGGATCCACAAACTGTACATATTTATGGAATACCATATCATGTTTGATGTATACACATCCTGCATAATGTTCAAATCAGAGTGAACAGATCTCTCCAAACAGTTATTACTAATTTGTGGTGAGAACATTGAAAATTCTTCATCTTAGCTTTCATGAAATGTATAGTATGCCCAACTAACAATGCAATAGCACACCGGAGCTTACCTTCCCTACCCGTCTCTAACAGTCCCGGTTGACCACCTTCTCCCTCCCTCTCTCTTCCCCCTTTCCTCTAGTGAGTACTATTCTCAGCTTCTATAAGACTAACATGGTACGACTTCACTTTGAGTGAGATCACCTGCTATCTGCCTTTTGATGCCTGGATTTCTTTCATTTAACAAAATGATCTCATGTTTATTTCCTTGAATGCTAGCAACAAAAACAAACAAAAAAGAAGCCCACAAGGGTGAGCAGCATCTTGCAGGTGGCTCTGTTCTTGGGCACTTCTTCCCCACCGAGCGAGGCTTGTTCAGAATGTAGGGACTGGTCCCCAGTGACTGCTCAAGAATATATTTAGAGATAGGACCTCACTGTGTAACCTAGGTTGGTCTCAAAGTCACGGTGTAGCCCATGCTGCCCTTGAAGTCACTGCTCCAGTCTCAAGTGCTAGGATTACAGGCATGTCTCACTATGCCCAGCCTCAAGTTCTGTTAAGTCTTTTTCTGAGCATGCATCTTTCTTAGACATGTATGTGCTTCCCAAATTTTTCTATGTACATGACTTCTTTTGAAAATTCCAGTGCCTCAAAGATTTCCTGCCATAGCTTCTTCTCTGGGCCTTAGTTTATTTTGTTTCTATCTGTAATCCCTTGTCAGAGATGTCAGTGTGCTATAGCTCTTCAGAGCAATCACCTCCACTCCTTTAGATCTCCAAATAGAATCTGTGTAGGCAGACATACATAAGGACTTTCTGAAAAGGACTCCAATAGCTCAGGAAATAATTCCAAGAGTCGACAAAAGGGATTGTGTCAAATTGAGATCACCACAGCAAGAAAACAACCAACAGAGTGGAGAAATATCTGCCAGGTCTGACAGGGGGGTCAACATCTAGAATGTATAAAGAATTCAAGAAATTAGACACTCCCAAACAGATGCTCCAGCCACTAAACACACAAACAAAATGACAGATAGTTCTCAGAAGATTACGTATAGGCTGAGCGTGGTGGGGCATGCTTTTCATCCCAGCACTCAGGAGGCAGAGACAAGGTGGAACTTTGTGAGTTCCAGGTCAGCCAGGGCTACATGATAAGACCCTGTAGAAAAAAAGATGGAAGTACAGATGGCCAACAGATAACATGACAAAT